GTGAATTTTTTTTTTTTTAAGCAGATTCCTCTGCTTACTACATTCAGTATAGCAAAGAACTAGAATGACTTTAAAGTAACTTTTTTTCTTTTTTTTTCTTGCCATTGGAACGGAGATCAAAGTCGTCTTCTCACTAAATATGGCACCGATATGTGTATAGGTTGGGAACGATGAAACAGAACCAGGACTAGATGTTCTTTTGCTCTCCCCCCAAACAAGTGTTCAATCTACATCTTCGTTTGCCTCATCACACGCTCAAAAGAAAAATGTTTCAAACTGATTTACTTCAAGAACTTTCCCACAGAAACTAGCATCACAGTTTTGTTTTGTTTTCTTGAGTATTTCTCCTCTCAGATTTCTCCAGCATAAGCTCAGCCTTTATACTGGTGCTAAAATACATCCCCCTCCCCCAGTTCTTGGTTCCCACACTGCTAGGCACAGTAAAGGTGAGCAACAGTATTACGGCTTTAATTTCTTGTACATAAAAGTAGTAGCATTCAAAACATCTTGTGTAAGGTTCTTAATCCTGTCTATGCATTGCCCTCAATGAAATTCTTTTGGCTTGAGTTGTGAAATAGGCCAGGCGGCTCTCTGATGGCATGGGGAGGAACAGTAGCATATAATAATTGTTAGTCTGCTACCACATGGCTGTCTAGGCTGCCATCGCCATAACCTGCCATTATTCTGAATCTTTCCACAGTCTTGTGACATAAGATGGCATAACCAGCTGCAGTGAGGGTAGGCACGAAGACTAGCTGATGTTCCCCTCGAAATATGGGATGAAATCCTTAACCCACCAAAGTCTGTTAGCGGAAACAGGATTTCACAACGACATTTAGTAACTTACGCCTGACAAGGCTGCATGTGTTAGTGCTGTCCAAAATATGGGTAACTGCTCCACTACAAGTCAGCATGCTGTATGCTACTGTTATCCCATCAGCAGATCATGTGGCTTGTGTTCTGGTGGTATATGCATAGTAGACACTGCTTACACTAGGCAGTTTTGCGATGTGTTCTTTGTGCAGGCATGCATGAAACCCCAATTACTCCTCCATATCTCTGCAAGAAAAGCAGCAGCATTGTGAATGGTGGCCACTTTAACTGTATTTTTTTTTTTAATTAAAGGCCCACTTTACTTGTTAGGAACCAGAGTTCATTGACATGACTGAAATTTTGAATACAAATATTACTGAAATTTCAGTTGGAGGGAGAAGTAGGAGTGGGGGGTGGTGCTTATTTTCACCCTATTTTCTAGCCAACTACAGAGCTGCCCCAAAAGGTCAAATTTGATTTGAGGGGAAAGAAACAGGAATTTTTCTTTAATTCAAAAGTTTCTCTTCTGTTTTTTCTGGCCAGCTGGTCTGGGCACTCAACAGTTAGCAGTGTCCAGAGCTACACCTTACATTTCTTCCAATTGGTTGGGTCATTCTGAACTTCTTTTACCACTAAGTGGCAAGTAACCTAGCTCTTAAAACTGAACTGGAAATGACTGGAGAAATTTGTCCCTCCCTCACCCCCCCCCTCCGCGCCCTCTCCATTCCAGCTAGTATTAACCCCCCCTTTTTTCCCCCAAATTCACCACCTTCCACCATTGCAATAAAACTAACTCTTTTAAAAAAAAAAAACAAAAAAAAATCACCCTATAAGGAAGGATCCATCATTGGAATCTCCCACTCCTCTCTCTGCTCCTGTCTATGCAGCAAGATTGGGAGGTGCTGAGTACAAGAAAGAAGCTTTTAATAAAATACTATAGGAAAGGAATATGTGCATCTACCAGATAGCAGCCTAGATAATGTGTCTATTTAGCATTCTAAACATTTAATCCTAAGCAAAATGAAAAAATTATGACTTCAAGTAAATTTTTATCAGGAAAAAAAAATTGCTTAAGAACATGACATTACGAGCATGTCTCTGCTTAGGTATGCTTGTTTATTTTACACAAAGCAGACCTACAAGTGTCGTCTTCATCTTACTCCATGTTCTCTGTAATGTAATGCTCTAAAGACTGCATTAATAACCCTGGATCCAGTTTAGACATAGAAAGGATAATTATTATACTGTGAAAGTTTCTGTGCTGAACTTCTGCCATTATCTAATGCATTATCTCATCTGTCTTCTGTGGTAACAGTAGTGCTTCATATGTCAGGCTTATGCAATATCCGTGTTTTAATCTACAGTGTGTCTTGTGTGGAACATGCATGCAATCACAAATGTTGCCTTACCCTGCTCATTGGTCATGCAGAACAAGTACTGAGCTATAACCAGTTGCAGAATAAGCCATCTTCTGTTGGCATCAGTGAAGGGCTCTAGCTCTTCTATCGAACAGAACCTTAAGGTTCTTAGTGTTCTCTAGGCTGTTGGTGCAAAATGAGCTATCTGGTGACATGGTGCTGGCTTTCTTCCTTGTTTCCACATTCAAAACCTACATTAAAATATTTTCCAAGTACAGGCAGTCCCCGAGTTACATGGATCCAACTTATGTTGGATCCGCAGTTACGAACAGGGATTTTCTCGCCCTGGAGGACTGGAGCAGCGGGACGCCTGGTCCCGCCGCCCGCCTCCTCCAGGGCGAGAAAAGCTGCTCCCCATCTCCCTGGTCCGCCATCAATTGTGTACAGAATACCTGGCCAGTATTCTGTCACAAGCAACTTCCAGGCTGGTAACTATAACAAATACACAGAACCTGAATGAATGGATTAATGAATGTTTATATGTATAAGGGTTAAGTAGTTAAACAACGTTGTTTGCTTCTATCTTTTCTTTATTTTTTTATTATTATCTTTACAATAAATGTGGCTTTTTGCCTTATCCCCCTCATAAGATCCTGCTTGCTTTTATTGGTATAACACAGAGAATTGCTTCACTGAGATTCAGTTTAAGAGTTACAGTATATGGGGGGGGAAGGAAGGGAGGCGCGAGCTGTCACATGGGTTCAGCACAAAGGAATTCAACCAAGCCCCAAAAGATA